TCCAGTTCAGCGCAGTGTCAGTGTCCAGTAGATGTACCAGTGTGCTGGAGGCTGGAGTGTACACTGAGGCATAATGTGATGCCAGCATCTCCTCTTTGTTCTCATCTTTTTCGGTTAAATCCCCATCTTTGGCGAGAGTCGGGAGACCAGGCGTTGCTCTGTTTCTTCGCCTGAGGTGGGCATACAATCACTTTGGTGCTTGTACTGAATCCGCTGCTAGCCGTTCCTCCAATCTGGTTCTCTTGCATATTTTTAATGCAGTACAATGATTCCGAATTCATCGATATTCCTCATATCCTGCACCTGTTGCATGGTACCTGGACCAAGCTTCATTCCGTTGCTGGAGGCACACCCTCAGTTCTCCGTCAAACCACGGCGGGCCCAGAGCGTGTGTTCAGTGGCGGTGAGGCGGAGGGAATTCCAGTACGAGTTGCTGGTTTCTATGACGAACCAACTCCTAGGATGCATCCACATCCTCAGGGTTCCGGGAATACCAATTTGTGAGCGACGCAGCCTGACGCATATCCGGAATGGATGAGCGCCACACATTCCGTCCGTCCTGTGGTCTGTCCATTTGGGATACGCCACGTCTCCAGTGAATACGCAGAACGGAGTGATCACTAGATGCAATTAGTGGAAGGAGGTTAATCCTAGTCGTATCTGATTGCCTCGCCGAAAATACCAGGTCAATGATGGATCTTTAATCCCCAATCCGCGTGGGCACATGAACATGCTGAACAAACAAGAAGACCCGGACAGTGAAAAGAAACAGCACATCTGCCTAATGAGAGCAGATGTCAGTTTTCCAATCAACATTGGGTGTGTTGAAATCACCCAAAACAAGACAATGCCCTCCGCAGGCGTACCTCTGTATGCTGATCAGCAGCTCTGGAACGTACACAGCTGATGTGCGGTAAATCACTCCAAATTTGGTATACCCTCCGGCACAAATCTTGATTCTGCACCACGTGGCTTTTACGAATCCTTCCGCATGGGCGTAATTATCTAGTACTCTAACAGGGAGACCCGAGCAGACAAAAAGAACAACGCCACCGCGACGTGACTATGATTGATCCGTTCGAAACACTGTGTATCCGTGGAGTGATATTTCGGAGTCCCGAACATCCGGTGTCTGGTCTCAGTGACTGCAAACGATCTGGATTGTGGGATACAACCCAGTCCTCCATCTCATATCTTTTCCCAGTGTCCCTCGGGTATTGGTTGAGGCTAGCACAGCGTGATTATCTCGCCATTCGCGCCTCAAGCTAATCCCCCGTCCGTGGTTTACAATCTTCTGGGTCCTCCCTCTACCAAGGGTAGCCAATGCAACTGAGGGCGCTTCCGATGCACACGAAAATCCCGTATACACATCAGTTTCCCTTTTGCATGCCGCTCCCTGAGTTCTTCTAATGCAGTTTTTAATTTACTGCGTTGGTCCGGGTCAAGATCCCTGAGGAATTGCAACGGAGTTCTCTTCAGCTTGTGGGTCCGCTGGAGTATCGTTTTGACTTCGCGTTCTGCTCAAAGAACCACCTTCAGTGGTAGCGGAGAACTATCCTGGTGGGGTTTTCCACGCCTTAATGCCGCTTTGACCATGATCGATGCCACTGGTTCCACCGCGTCGCCATCAAACAAGGTAATCATGTGCAACCTCAGCAGCTGCAGGTCGTGGTCCAGACGAGCCTGGGTAGTAGTGGCCTCGGCCTCCGGAAGATTGACAACAATAAGGCACTGAGATCTAGGAGGGAGCTTCCTTTGCCGCATAGGTTTCTGCGAATCGCGGGGGCACCTCTCAACTGTCCGTGACATGTTACACGCACCGTGCCTGGACGTCGTGGATGAGGGAGTCTAGTCTGTCCGTGAGTGCGATGCAGCAAAAAATATCCCTGACTTTTTTCGGGTTCCTCTGCTGCGGTGCAGCTGCAGGAGCTGCATTTCTAAGTGGCGTGGAAATGGCATCTTTATACAAAGGGGCCACTTTCACAACAGTAGCCGGCGTAATGGGGGTTAGAGAGTTTTTGGCAGTGGAGAGTCGTCCTCCTTGGAAGGAATGACCGAGCACCTGCAACACGATCTTCAGGAATGGAGAGGGGCATTTCTGTAGCCATTGGTATTTGTTTTCATCGATTTGGGTGCGATTGAAGTGCAGCCACCCATCACAACGGAGCCCTTTGGCCCTGGGGCCAACACTCCTGGGAAGCCTCGCTTTTTTGAGACATTACCGATGGAATAGATCCCGTTGAGTGCACAAAAGCCACAGCAGAATAATCCGATTTTGCAAACGGTGGAAAAACCGATGCCGCAAACAAAGGTCAAGTGAAGCCAGGTCTGTGTGGCTCAGCCAAAGACATGCCAGCGAGAAAAGTCCGCGTGCAAGACAACTAGCGAGTATCGATCGTTGCGACTGGAGATGAAGGGAAGGACACACCTGCAGACGCGATGGAGAACGGAACAGAATTGAATAACACAAATTATACCCGTAGCTCTCTTATAATTGATCACACAGAGCTGGATGGAATCTCGTTGGATGGAGCGTAGAATTTCCTTCAAACTGATATCACAATGAGGGTAATGCGTGGACCTCTGATTAAGTTTACACGCGTGAATAAGATGGAGAACTTGCTCCGAACAGCCGAACAGCGGAAACGTGAAACACAAAGGGTATATATCCAACGAAGTGATACCAATCAATGTAGATCACCGAAATGAGTCGTCTGGGTGCTAACTCGACGTTGTACGACGAGTTTTGAAGCAGAAAATCCACTGAAACCGAGAGCACACAAATTGAGCGACTGCACACGAGTTCAATTCAACGAGTGCTGTACATTTATTCGTCCGAAATTGCGGCATCACCTTGTGGGGCGGCTTTTCCTTTGCAATGCATATTTCTAGCAACGCTACACTGCGATCGCTTTTACCGAGAGGAACCTCTTGTCTCAGGAAGTTGCTCTCACTCCCTTGCCGCGTGAGGACCAGATCTAAGGTAGACGGTCTCTGCCCTAGCCGGATACGCGTTGGTTCTCTCACGTGCTAATAGAGCGGAACTGCGTGGTAGCAGTTCATGAACTCACGTTGCGCTTTACTCCCTCTCGTCCTCATACTACCATTCTATTCCGGGGATATTGAAGTCCCCACCATAATCGGTGAGTGGTTTTCCCTACCGAATGTGGCAAATAGGTTCATTAGTACTTGATCATCCTCCGGTCTAGAGTTTGGTGATCGGTAGAGAGCTAATACACAGAAGTGCCTCTGTTTCTCATGCTGCAGCCTGTGGCCTGCACTGTTGGTGTATAGAGTATTAGTCCCTGTATTTCCCACTAGATATATTACCGACGAACGAGCAGTAAGACCCTGACACCTCTCCCACCCTCCCTCGTTCAACGGGTGAAGTTTAGAGGGGCTTGTCGTTCGACTGATATGGTTTTGGATAACGATATTTTAGTGAGGATAACAATATCGCAATACTGCCACCTAATCTCTAGTTCACCCAATTTGTTCCGAACACTGCATACGTTTGTGTATTACAGCCTTAGGCTGAGGCTGGAAAAATTGGCGCTTGAAAGTATTTTTCTTTCAACTTAGCAGTGAACTCAAGCGCAACACCCGAGGGCCAACTACGTTTTTTTGTTGTAATAGTCCGCTCTACGTCCTGCACGGAGCAGTTACCCTTCCTTTCGAGGGACTTTACTCCGGATGGGGCTTGAAACCATTTAGATAACCTTATCATTGATTACCAAGCCGCCCTTATCTCCATGTTTGGTTGTCACTGCCGCTATCCCCAACCCGTACACTTAGCACAACAATCCCGCCTTCAATTCTCTCGTAGACCACCATCTGCAGGACAAACACTGTTTCTTTCTTACACCCAGCCCCCAAGCCCAAACCTCGCACGCTCCCTCACAAAATAACATACAGCCAACATTTCACTCCGTCCCTCCACCCATACCCACATGTCCCCCTTTTCAACCCACAAATCCTAATGCTGCCCCCGCTATTACCCTCTTTCAAACTTTCTCTCACTGTTTCACCGAATGTCTCAACCATCCGCACCACAATGGGGCCCCACTATCAGCCACATTTCTAACTCCACTCCTATATCTGACCCTGCACAAATACGCCCAACCCCACTCCCTATCATAAACAATCCCCCATTCTATCTGCACACCCCCCTCAATCGACATAAAAAGCCCCACAAGTCATTGATTCCTCCTCCACCTCTGTTAGGTCTTTTCTCGCGCTAACCCTTATAAATGCACGCTCCATCTGCGCAAAATTAGACATTGAAGTGTCTAGCACTCACGTTAGACCTACACTTATCACCGAGTCTTGGATCGCCGAAACCACACCGACTGAAGAATTTTCCCTGCTAGGCTATTCAACCATCAGGAACTGCCGAGCAAACCGTCGTGGAGGTAGATGCCTGGCATATGTAGGAAAACCTCTGTCTTTTTCCCTTTTGAAACACCCGTTTCTCGATAGGACCCCAGACTCTCTGTGGTTTTCAGTTGTCCTAAAAAATATGGGTCTAAACATAGGATCTGTTTATAGGCCACCGTTTTCCAAATCTCAAACCAATTCTTGACTCCTTCAATTATATGGCCGAGAATCTCCCTGGGGTGAAACTAATCGCAGGGGACTTTAACCTCCCGAACGTAAACTGGACTTCTCTTACGGCGTCAAGTGCCCTTCATGACTTCCTATCCAGTATAAGAATCGGCAAATGGATCCAAAACACAAACACCCCAAATGGAGGTGATCATATACTGGACCTAGTTTTTACCAGTAGAATCTCAGAAGTTTCCACCCTGGTCCTGGAGCACTTTCCGGGCAGTGACCATAAAGCAGTCGCATGCAAACTCAAGGTCCCATTTCCAGTACATCAAAACCCACACATTTCCCACTCTATCATCTCATCAAGTGGAATGACATTCCTATCCATATCCGCCGACAACTTTGGGATGCGCTTTTCTAACAAAAGACCCCAGCTTGCGGCAGATATCTTTTACATAAACTTTACTCAATGCTTGAAAAAAGCCCTTACCTTAATAAGCCCCCGACAAAATAGAAAACCCAACACCCAGGGTCTTGATGACAAATACCTGTGGTAATCCAGACTTCCGTGACCGCAATCCATGCACAGCTAGGTACAGTTTCATGTCATCCAATCACCGTTCAGGAAGCTCGACCAATGGTACGCTGGGCGAACGTGACATCCGAATTAGTACATATGATGCGTCGACGAACAGTTACGTAATTGAACGACGGCCCTTAAACCAATCATATGAGATATTTCCTTCGATAAAACATGCTCTAATTCTATCAATAAACATAAGCATTTGCTGCTATCAATTCCTCTTGTATTTCATTGGTGTCCGCAGTTTGGGTTAGAGTCAATTCAGTTCTGAGCAGTAACAAACAACCTTCTCCTGAAATAGCTTGCTTACTACTCCCCACACAATATCTGAAGCCTTCAGCAGCTTCTTCTCCTCTGCCATGACCTCAAACGGGATCGGCAGCTGTCTCATCGTACTACCTTTGACAGACACGACACTTTTGATGATCTCCTTCACCTTTTCCGACATTCAAAACTTAATTTGCACCGTGAAACCCTCTGTTAAGCCCGGCCCTGACGGACTTCCATCAACTCTGTATCGTTATGGTGGCCCCGACTTAGCTGTTATCCTTTTAAATCTCTTCACTC